GAGATCAAGAGACCTGTGCACAGTCGTCCGCTCGTGTTGTGACCAATGTTGCAAAATGTATCGTCTTCAGTGAGTGAATTCTTGACAGGTTTGTCTTAAAAATGAAAATGAAATTCCTTAGACCATTTAAATATTGCTTTTGACGTCAATACATCTGCATGATTCTATATTACTGTGAGCCTATAGTGAACGCTAGACAATGATTTTGGGTGTCTGGGAGCCTATAGTGAACGCTAGACAATGATCCTGGGTGTCTGGGAGCCTATAGTGAACGTTAGACAATGATCCTGGGTGTCTGGAAGCCTATAGTGAACGCTGACAATGATCCTGGGTGTTTGGGAGCGTATAGTGAACGCTAGACAATGATCCTGGGTGTCTGGGAGCCTATAGTGAACGCTAGACAATGATCCTGGGTGTCTGGGAGCCTATAGTGAACGCTGGACAATGATCCTGGGTGTCTGGGAGCCTATAGTGAACGCTAGACAATGATCCTGGGTGTCTGGGAGCCTATAGTGAACGCTGACAATGATCCTGGGTGTCTGGGAGCCTATAGTGAACGCTGACAATGATCCTGGGTGTCTGGGAGCCTATAGTGAACGCTGACAATGATCCTGGGTGTCTGGGAGCCTATAGTGAACGCTGACAATGATCCTGGGTGTCTGGGAGCCTATAGTGAACGCTAGACAATGATCCTGGGTGTCTGGGAGCCTATAGTGAACGCTAGACAATGATCCTGGGTGTCTGGGAGCCTATAGTGAACGCTGACAATGATCCTGGGTGTCTGGGAGCCTATAGTGAACGCTGGACAATGATCCTGGGTGTCTGGGAGCCTATAGTGAACGCTAGATAATGATCCTGGGTGTCTGGTAGCATATAATGAACGCTAGACAATGATCCTGGGTGTCTGGAAGCCTATAGTGAACGCTGACAATGATCCTGGGTGTTTGGGAGCGTATAGTGAACGCTAGACAATGATCCTGGGTGTCTGGGAGCCTATAGTGAACGGTAGACAATGATCCTGGGTGTCTGGGAGCATATAGTGAACGCTAGACAATGATCCTGGGTGTCTGGGAGCCTATAGTGAACGGTAGACAATGATCCTGGGTGTCTGGGAGCATATAGTGAACGCTAGACAATGATCCTGGGAGCTTTTTCATGTTACACTTATATGTTGTTATAAGTGAAAGCTATTTATGTCTAGCTTTCGCTCTGGAAAGCAAAATTTGTCACGTAACAAGAGCAGGGAGGTTTTCTCCCTGAATTTATGTTTATAAAAATGCCCTGCGCTAATGAGGAAGGAAGGAGGGAGCGAGAGAGCGAGAGAGCGAGCGAGCGAGCGAGCGAGCGAGAGAGAGAGAGAGAGAGAGAGAGAGAGAGAGAGAGAGAGAGAGAGAGAGAGAGAGAGAGAGAGAGAGAGAGAGAGAGAGAGAGAGAGAGAGAGAGAGAGAGAGAGAGAGAGAGAGAGAACAGACTGACTGACTTTTACCATACGGATAATTAAGACGTCACTAAATGACATCATATATAACCTCATACTAACTATGCTTACGATCATAATTGACAAGGTATAAATTTTCATATTAACTTGTGAAAAGCACCAGAATGCCCTCATGAGTGATGCACTGAAAGTTTTTACCTGTAGTCCAGAATACACTTCAGTACTAACGTAAACTCATAGCCTAGCCTCACCTAGCCTAATGTAAATTTGAAATGTCAAATTTCAGCTTTGAATACCTTTCAAAATTGCTCATCTTTTACCTCAATAGATCAACTTTGATCCTTCCTGGGGCTGAGAAACTCTGAGGTGTGTAGCTGGGAACACTTACGCCACTTGGAGATTAATATCTCAAGTAGACATCTCGTATATGGACTCATTTACATATTATTGCTGTGAACGGACGTGTGTGTGTGTGTGTGGGGTGGGGGGGGGGGGGAGATCGTACCCTTGTCGGGTTTATATGGTATCAGTCTCCTCAGTGGTTGGGATAGTCCAACATATTCCAGCCCGTCCTCCAAACAAAGATCCAAAAGTGATTCCATCCACCCGCCAAACCCCCTGTTTATGAATGAAAAGCGGTTTACACGCGACTCACAACTGCTGACGTTCGAACATATCCGGAACAAGTGCTTCACTGACGAATTTTGTTCGAACCACAACGCTGTAAATGCTTCACCCACGTACTACATATACAAATAATCGCCAACAGAACCTAAACACCTAACCTAACGTATCCTATACCAATATATATACACAATATGCTAATATATTATAATATTAATTTATACTTAAGAAAATTCCCGTTTTGAATGAACAGCATGTTAAAATTTATGAATACGTCTGTGGGGTTGACCGCTGAATGTAATGGACTTGAGTCGAGGACGGGTTGTATATTCACACCCTTCATCAGACCAAGGCCATTCCATCCAGCGGTCGACCCCAAATATTCATCCATTTTTAACATGCTGTGCATTCACAATAGGATTTTTTCTCAAATATAAATCAATATTGTTATATATATTAGCATACTGCGCATATTTAGGCATTGGTTAGGTTAGGTTATGTGTTTAGGTTCTGTTGGCGATTATTTGTATTTGTAGTACGTGGGTGAAGCATTTACAGCGTTGTGGTTCGAACAAAATTCGTCAGTGAAGCACTTGTTCCGGAAGTGTTCGAACGTCATCAATTGTGATTCGTATGTTAGTCCGTCCTCCAAACAAAGACCCAAAAGTGATTAAATCCACCCGCCAACCCCCCTCTTTATGAATGAAAAACGGTTTACACACGACTCACAACTGATTTCGTTCGAACACTTCCGGAACAAGTGCTTCACTGACGAATTTTGTTCGAATCACAACGCTGTAAATGCTTCACTCACGTACTACAAATACAAATAATCAGCAACAGAGCCTAAACACTTAACCTATGCCTATATATGCACAATATGCTAATATATTATAATATTAATATATATTTGAGAAAATTCCTGTTTTGAATTAACAGCATGTTAAAACTGATGAATGCGTCTGTGGGGTCGGCCACTGGATGGAATGGACTTGAGTAGAGGACGGGTTGCATCAGTTGCGAGTCGTGTGTAAACAGTTTTTCATTCATAAACAAGGGGGGTTGGCGGGTGCATGGAATGGATTTTAACCTTTGTTTATGAGGGCGGGCTGCGTAATCTGAGGCTTTGTCCGTCCAAACTGCTGCTCGGTTCCAATCCATCCTCAAGCTATATATTCCTCCAAGTGATTAAAGTCTTGTCAGTGATTAGCGAGTCATGTTAGTGACTGGCTAGTTTTGTCAGTGATTAGCATGTTTTGTCAGTGATTAACAAATCTTAAGTCTGATTAGCTAATCTTGTCAGTGATTACCGAATCTTGTAAATGATTAGGAATTATCAGTGATTAGCGTGTCTTATAAGTGATTAGCAAGTGTCAGTGATTAACGAATCTTGTCAGAGATCAGCGAGATTTGTAAAAGATTAGCGAGTCTTGTTAGTGTTTAGGGAATATCGCCAGTGATTGGCCAGTCTTTTCAGAGTTTTGGGAAGAGAGGCAGTGATTAGCGAGTCTTGTCAGTGAATAAAGTGTCGTGTCAGAGATTAGTGAGTCGACGATTTGAGTTTTGTCGTTCTTTAGCGAGTCTTTCAATGTTTAGGGATGATTGTAAGTGATTAGCGATAATAGTCAGTGATTAACGAGTCTTGTGAGTGATTAAAGGAAGATTGCCAGTGATCGGGGATGATTGTCAGTGATTAGCAGTGACAATCGCTAATCGGTGATTTGTCTCTTTGCCTACAACAAAGCAAAGAGGCATAATTGTCTCTGTGTCATTGCTCTTCCTTTGCAAGGGCTCCCTCCCCCACCCCCGCTCTGCCTTCAGGGGGTGTTACTGACGTGTTTTAAAGCACTAGAAATGATCTCATTGGCGATTGCTGTTGAATCAATCACCTAAATTGATGTAGAATCAATTACTGTTAACAACAGAGAGGTGGGGAAAAAAAGGAGGGACTTTTTTTCCCCGCGCTGGGTCAGCAACGCGGGAAAGGAGTCAGTGCGCGGGCGACCGTCTTGGCGGGAGGACGTGTTGGTCGTGGCTCCCGTAAATTTTTGGCGCCTCGCGTCTGGGCTTCGACTGCTTCCTTCCGCCGTTGGGTCGCAAGTTGACTGCTTCTCCGCCTTGTGAGATTTAGTTTGTGTTTTTTCTATGTGTATTCGAGTGTTTTATTGATTCGTATTATTTGTTACTGTATCTGCCATGTTACATGCTGCTGGAGGCGGTGCTTGACTGTACCTGTCATGTTACATGTTGCTGGAGGCGGTGCTTGACTGTACCTGTCATGTTACATGCTGCTGGAGGCGGTGCTTGACTGTACCTGTCATGTTACATGCTGCTGGAGGCGGTGCTTGACTGTACCTGTCATGTTACATGCTGCTGGAGGCGGTGCTTGACTGTACCTGTCATGTTACATGCTGCTGGTGGCGGTGCTTGACTGTATCTGTCATGTTACATGCTGCTGGAGGCGGTGCTTGACTGTACCTGTCATGTTACATGCTGCTGGAGGCGGTGCTTGACTGTACCTGTCATGTTACATGCTGCTGGAGGCGGTGCTTGACTGTACCTGTCATGTTACATGCTGCTGGTGGCGGTGCTTGACTGTATCTGTCATGTTACATGCTGCTGGAGGCGGTGCTTGACTGTACCTGTCATGTTACACGCTGCTGGAGGCGGTGCTTGACTGTACCTGTCATGTTACACGCTGCAGCCCTAATTAGATTTCGAGTGCCGTTGACTCAAAGGAGAGAACAAGAATTCTCTTAACGAAATTTTTAATCATAAGTTACTTTAACCATAGTGTGAGGTTCCCAGTATTCGTGTCCTGGTGAACATGGGGTTCAAATATTCCGTAATTATTATTATTTGTCGTCAGAGTTCAGCCAATTCCGCAGTTAAATGTGCCACAGGGCTCTGTGCCCGCGCTCAGTGGTGCCAGTGCGATATAGGCCTACCTACCGAGGCTGGTGGTTTCAGTGCGCCATGTAGGCCTACTCGCCGAGCTCAGTGGGTCGACTTGTTGCAATTCGAATAGGTTTTATGTTGGGTTTATTCCTGTCAAAAGCGCGTGAACCACTATAATATTACTACCATGCCAGCAAGCATACTTTTGTCCTCAATATATCTGTCCAACCACTTGGGCTGGACGGTAGAGTGACGGTCTCGCTTCATGCAAGTCGGCGGATCAATCCCCCCGGCCGTCCACAAGTGGTTGGGTACCATTCCTTCCCTCCCTCCCCGTCCCATCCCAAAACCTCCTTATCCTCACTCCTTCCAAGTGCTATAAAGTCGTAATGGCTTGGGCACTTTCCCTTGATAATTCCCCTCAATATATCTCTCAAAAGCAAACGCTTATGTATTCACCAGTTAGCGCGATACACCTTTGTGAATTGCTGACCCGAGTAGAGGTCAATTAGCTTCAGCTTCTGAGCGGTTGCAACTTGGTGTCACTCATAAAAGTTCTGTTAAGTTTGGCTGAAGCAAGATTGGCGTGTCGCAATAATCGCTGGTTGAAGCGAACTTTAAATTTGAACAAATGTTGTTTTCTCTTGATAATTAGGTAATTAAAATGCTAATAATGCAGTGCATAATTAGTACGGCAGTCAAATTATTTGTTTTATATAGACCTTTTATATAGACCTTATTCACAAGCCTGAATGCAAACAAGCCTGAATTGTGTTCCTCACGTGTGCCCCAAAGAGTGAGGTGATTTGATAAAATGCTATGCCCAAGATTACCATCCGAGTGCCGGCGGGGAAGTGGTTCAAATAGCTTCGGCTATCACTTCCTTATGTCCGGTCGTGATGGTCAAGTGGATTAAGGCGTCCCTGTAGATACCAGTTGCGTTGCTCCTGGGAGTATGGGTTCGAGTCACTTCTGGGGTGTGAGTTTTGAGTCATATATATATATATATATTTTATTAAATATGACCGAAAAAGTAAGATTAATAATTCTAACACGAATTTTCTCAATCTTTCGTACATTATGCTTCACTGTTGGAGGTAAATCAAAAATCACTTCTCCAAAATTCATTTTTATTTCTAGTCTGACGCGACACGGGCGCGTTTCGTAAAACTTATTACATTTTCAAAGACTTCACAAATACACAACTGATTAGAACTTGCGTTTCCCTGATTTTATATCTACATTTGAGTGAGGTGGGAAGGGTGATGTGGCATTACATTTGAGTAAGGTGGGAAGGATGATGTGGCATTTAGAGGATATTAATAGGGTATTAAAAGTATCAACACAAGACAGAACACGAAACAATGGATATTGAATAGAAGTGTTTGTAGAAAGCCTATTGGTCCATATTTCTTGATGCTTCTATATTGGAGCGGAGTCTTGAGGTGGGTAGAATATAGTTGTGCAATAATTCTGTATTTCCCGCTGTATTCAATAACGGCTTCTCCAATGGTTTCATCGAAGACATCATAAGAAGGAAAGTGAAAAGCCATGCAACCTCCGAAGAGACAACTAACACAACACCTATACCCCCTATTAGACTATTTTACAGGAACTTCTTTTCCACAGCTCATAAAACAGAGGAAAGGGTCCTGAAAGATATTGTTAATAGAAACGTTATCCCTACAGACAAAAATCAGAGGATACAACTGACGATTTACTATAAAACCAGAAAAACGGCCAGCCTACTCATGAGAAACTCTCCAGACACGAAACAGAACGCTTTAAAAGAGACTAACGTCGTCTATGCCTTCAAATGCCCACTTGGGGACTGTAAGCTCCAAAAAACCCAGTATATAGGCAAGACAACAACATCTCTTTCTAGGCGTTTAACGATGCATAAACAACAGGGCTCCATTAAGGAACATATAATCTCTTCCCATAACCAAACCATCGCCAGAGAAATCCTAGTAAACAACACAGAAATCATCGATAGATACAGCGATAGCAGGCGGCTAGACGTTTGCGAGGCACTACACATCAAGAAGTCAACACCAGCAATCAACAGCCAATTATTGCACAACTATATTCTACCCACCTCAAGACTCCGCTCCAATATAGAAGCATCAAGAAATATGGACCAATAGGCTTTCTACAAACACTTCTATTCAATATCCATTGTTTCGTGTTCTGTCTTGTGTTGATACTTTTAATACCCTATTAATATCCTCTAAATGCCACATCATCCTTCCCACCTTACTCAAATGTAATGCCACATCACCCTTCCCACCTCACTCAAATGTAGATATAAAATCAGGGAAACGCAAGTTCTAATCAGTTGTGTATTTGTGAAGTCTTTGAAAATGTAATAAGTTTTACGAAACGCGCCCGTGTCGCGTCAGACTAGAAATAAAAATGAATTTTGGAGAAGTGATTTTGATTTACCTCCAACAGTGAAGCATAATGTACGAAAGATTGAGAAAATTCGTGTTAGAATTATTAATCTTACTTTTTCGGTCATATTTAATAAAATATGTCTACAGGAAAGACTGCTACCAAATATATATATATATATATATATATATATTATATATATATATATATATATATATATATATATATATATATATTTATATTATATATATTATATATATATATATATATATATATATATATATATATATATATATATATATATATATATATATATATATATATATATATATATATATATATATCAGATTTAAAGTGTGCTAGAACTGGCAGCTTTGAAATGCGGGAAATCTATGGCGTTGAGGGCTTGAGAATAGCCTAATTTCAATTTTCAGACTTGATGGTGCACGAAATTAGGAGGTTTAAAACGTTTTTAATTATCCGGTTTGTAAGCGAGTGAAATTGGCGGTTGTACAGTTTTAACATTTAGGAAGGTTTAAAAATACATTCAAATAAAGAGGTAATAAATTGCTTTTCCCGCTGTATTCAGTTTATTTACAAATGTTTCCCCCCTCCATTTCATTTTCATTTATGCTGTTAATCATGTTATGTGATTAGGAGAGTCGCGTTTGCAGACGTCTAAATTATAACTGCTAATATTTATTTATTTGTTTATATACAAGAAGGTACATTGGGTTTGTGAGAATACATAGCATAGTACAGTATTTACAATCTTGTAAAGCCACTAGTTCGCGCAGCGTTTCGGGCAGATAAGCGAGGACGCCCTAGGCTTCTTTCTGCTGGGATGATCTGCTGATAGCTTATCTCCGGGATATCAGAGGGAACAACAGTGTCATGAAAGTAATGGCTTATCGGTTTTGGAGGATGTACCGGCTCGAGAGGTGGGGGGGTACTCACCCAGTTGTGCTTACAGTTTTTTTATTATTATCTACCACAGACGTGGCCAGACATTTACAATGCTAACCAGCATATATACATTTTCTTCTGTCCTCCATGGACAGGGTGAGAGATTTGTCAAACATACAGTTCAGGGATTTATTGAACAGTCAACCACAGAAGGTGATTGTAGTGCTTTTAAAATGCTAGGTTAAGCTACATACGTAAATACATAGACACACATATTTATGTATGCTACATAAAGTGTTCGATGTGTCTTTTACATAGTGTCATTTCATTAATGTGCTTGCAGTGGTTGAGCTTTGGCTCTTTGGTCCCGCCTCTCAACCGGTAATGTATTGGTGTACAGATGATAAAGCTTTTCGAGCTCTATCATATCTGCATTTGAAACTGTGAATGGAGTCAGCCTCCACCACATCACTGCCTAGTGAATTCCATTTACTAACTACTCTGACACTGAAAAAGTTCTTTTTAATGTCTCTGTGGCTCATTTGGGTACTCAACTTCCACCAGTGTCCCGTTCGTGTACCACCCATACTAAATAATCCATCCTTGTCTACCCCTGTCAATTCCCTTGAGAATTTTGTATGTGGTGATCATGTCTCCCCGAGCGCTTCTGTCTTCCAGCGACGAGAGTTGCAGTTCACTCATCCTTTTCTCGTAACTCATGCCTCTTAGTTCTGGGACTAGTTTAGTGGCATACCTCTGAACTTTTTCCAGCTTCGTCTTATGTTTGGCAAGGTAAGGGCTCCATACTGGGGCCGCATACTCCAGGATTGGTCTTACATATGTGGTATACAAGGTTCTGAATGAATCCTTATACAGGTTCCTGAAGGCAGTTCTGATGTTAGCCAGCCTTGCATACGCCCCC